GAAAACCAATTGAGATCTTTGGAGATAGTTACACCGAGATATTTGAAGGTACTAACAGATTCAATAGGAGTGCTAGCAATTTTGTACGGATAGAGGAGAGGACTTCGCGAGCGGGTGACGGACATTAATTTATATTTACTGGGATTCAGGACCATCAGCCAGCGATCGCACCAATTCAGGATTTTAGATAAACTGCTCTGCAGCACAGCCTGGTCGGAGGTATTTCTTATGGACTGGTAAATAATGCAGTCGTCTGCGAACATACAAATAGAGCAAGTAACTTCCAATGGCAGATCATTGATATAAATCAGGAACAATAGGGGACCCAGCACGGAACCCTGGGGGACGCAATAGGCCTTAGCGTAGTCAAAGAATATTGCGTCTACTTGTATATTAGAGTTCATGTTGGAATGCAGATCGTAAATAAAAAGAGTGAGCTGTGTTTGACAGGACAGACCTTTGCGAAAACCATGGTGTGGTGAATGGAAAAAGCTGTTGGAACCGAGGAAGTTCATGATGTTAGTGTAGATGATATGTTCCATGATTTTATATGGTATGCTGGTTATGGAGATGGGCCGGTAGTTTAATGGTGAAACTCTGTTACCTGACTTGTAGACGGGAACGACCTTCCCCACTTTCCATTCGTTCGGTAGAGTGCCTGATGATAGAGACTGCAAGAACAACAAGGTTAAGACTGCGGCAGAAATATGTTTAGTGTTTTTTAGAAGTTTAGAAGTGACGTCATCAACACCTGCGGACGAAGAAACCTTTAGCTTTTCAATCAGTGATGCGATGCCTTTGGCCAAGAAATTTATAGCCGGCATTATTGACATGATAGGGGTAGGGCACTCAGGTAGGGGGGGCATCTGGTTCGGCTGTGAAAACGGATGAAAAAGCGGCGTTGAATGTATTAGCGCACTCAGAATCTGCAAGGATATCACCCTGATCCGTATAATGCAGATAGAGCGGTTGGGCTGAGGGTTAATGATCCGCCAGAATTTACGGGGGTTATCGGTTATCATGCGGGGAAGGTCCGAGTGAAAAAAGGAATGTTTACGTTGACGAACTTCTGCGAGATATGCGCGTTCAGCTTGATAGTATCTGTCCCATGAGTCGGCATTTGGTTTAAACTTCGCGTTACAAAAGAGCCGCTTCTTTTTGTTCTCAAGTGTTTTAAGGTTTTTGGTATACCACGGCTTATGACGACTAGAAGGAATAGTGGTGACTGGAATATATTTGTCTGCTAAAACATTCATCTTGCCCTGAAAATCTGACTAGTTCTGTTGCACAGAGCGATTGGGAAATGTCGACTCGTAGGACCGATAAAATTCATGTAGTTCGTCGTTTATGGCCGAGTAGTTACCTTTATTGTAGAGGCGAGGCTTTTTTTTTTTTTTTTCCTGCGGAATGATGAAACAGTGGTTTGAGGGAAAATGTGGCATGAATTACTTTATGGTCGCTTATTTCTTTAAGGTAACAAATTGATGACATGAATTCGTGATGCGATGCCAGAATAAGGTCAAGCGTGTTGGCACAATCTACCGTGACACGAGTTGGTTCTTTTATCAGTTGGGTCAGATTACGGTTAAGGCAGAAGTCCAGAAAATTAGCAGCCTCCAAGTTACCTGTAGCTAATTGCAAAGAAGACCAATCAATACTGGGGTAATTAAAGTTACCGAAAAGCAAAATGCATACATTAGGGTGCCGCTTGGCTAAATCACTCAAAATATTGTTAAGTTTGCTGGGAAAATTGGAAAGATGAGTAGGGGGCCTGTAGCACACGCCAAGAATAATAGATGAAGGTTCGGTACAGCAGATCAGCCACAGAATTTCGAGGTCACTTGATATATTGACAGGGCAACAGGATAGTTCAGTATGAACGGCGATTAATACCCCACCCCCTCTGCCACCGTGCCTGTCTTTTCGAAAAATATCAAAGTTGGGAAAGTTGTTCAAAATTTCAGCATCAGCGATTTCACTGGAAAGCCATGTTTCGGTTAGTACAACTACATTACTATCAGATGATGACACCAGATTTGACACTACTTCACGTTTTGGGAGGAAGCTGTGAATGTTAGTGAAGATAACCGAGAGTGAAACGGTGGCACGGGGCATGCGAGTAAGGTGGCTGCGCGGTTGACGGGCATGACGAGATAGCTATAGTTGTTCTTGCACGCTTTGTGAAGCTTCATCAAAGAAGAAGCGTCGTGGGCCGATGTGTAGCGCTTTATATCAAAGTGAGTAAGGCACGGACTTGTTTTTTGCAAAGGCGACAAGGTGTTTACGTGCGTTTTGTACCCGTTAGGAAAAGTCCTCCCCAATGCCATATGTGGTACCTTTCAACTTGCGAGCGTTAGTAAGGATCGCCTCTTTTGTCTTAAAAACAGAAAATCTGACAATTATGGGACAATTACGGCCAGAGGTATGGCGACCCAAACGATGCGCTCTTTCTATTTCTTTTGTGTCGACTGTTAAATTCAGTTGTTCCGAGCAAAGTTGAATGATGGCTTCTTCAGGGTGTACACGCGATTCAGATGAAGAATCGGGGATACCATAAAAGATCAGGTTGTTGCGACGGGACCGATTTTCGGCATCATCAAAACGGCTTTCTAAAAGAGAAACACAACACACAGTTTCGGTGTTGTCAGTCCGTACGGTTCCAAGCTGCTGCCGCAAGTGCTCGATGTGTTCACAACTTCCATAGAAGCCACACGCTTAGCAAGCTCGGCGATTGTGTTATTCGTGGCAACAAGTTGTGCCTTAATGTCTTTAATTTTCGTAATGACAGTTGCTTGACCAGCAGTTAGCTTACGCAGCTCGGCGAGAATCGCCGCATTATCGGGTCCTGGGTTCGACTCGATATCACCCGCAACTAGCAGCAAGGAGCGCACAACAGCTCCTCACTCACAACAAGTAGTAAACAGGCGCTGCGGGCTCGGCAGCTAAAGTAAGAAGTAATTGCTCGACGTTTTTGCGTATAGGCTGTAGGAAGGACCAACCTGCATGATGAAGTGCAGAGGATTAGTGGTCACTCTCCCAGAACAGCTGCCGAGCCCACAAGGCGATGTCGACGGAATCGGTGGCTTTATAGCTTGGGGAACGATTGATGTCATTGACGATGGGGCCTTCCAAGCTGTGCCCAGGACCAAGTGCTGAGATTGTGGCATGGCTTGCCGCGTTGAATCCCGAGTACTGTCCAGCCAAGTCCCGCATGTTGAAATCTGAGCAGGTCCACGGGACGGTAGCGCGCGCACCAGTGATGCGCACGTTGTTGATCCAGACAGCGCAGGAAAGAGCATCAGAGCGAAGGCATGAAGAAAAACCTGCATGATGAAGTGCAGAGGATTAGTGGTCACTCTCCCAGAACAGCTGCCGAGCCCACAAGGCGATGTCGACGGAATCGGTGGCTTTATAGCTTGGGGAACGATTGATGTCATTGACGATGGGGCCTTCCAAGCTGTGCCCAGGACCAAGTGCTGAGATTGTGGCATGGCTTGCCGCGTTGAATCCCGAGTACTGTCCAGCCAAGTCCCGCATGTTGAAATCTGAGCAGGTCCACGGGACGGTAGCGCGCGCACCAGTGATGCGCACGTTGTTGATCCAGACAGCGCAGGAAAGAGCATCAGAGCGAAGGCATGAAGAAAAACCTGCATGATGAAGTGCAGAGGATTAGTGGTCACTCTTGCAGAACAGCTGCCGAGCCCACCGCTGCTAGTGATCTCGAGGGGTGCCCAAAACCTTGCACTCATGGGGAAATGGGGAATGATGGAACAGTTAGAGGGAAGAAAAAAAAAGTAGGCTTAAAAGGGGGGGGGGGGGGGGGGGGAAATTGCAGGAAGCGACCAACATGTGTTGGCATGGGCAGTTTGGTGAACTTCACTTGCTGTGTGCTTATCAGCTGCGATGTCTCTACACTTGCAGCGCTCGTGAACCTTGCTGTGGCACACAGAGATGGGGACGTGCCGCGCACAGATAGAAAGAAAAGCAATAGGCATGCAGCAACGAGCGAAGGGGGGAGGGAGCGAGCCGAGGTGGTTGAGGGAAGGTTGGCAAAGTAATCAAAAACGGGAGAGATCCAACGGGTGAGCAGGTGCCAGATGTCGGTTAGAGGGACTGAAGTGGATGAATGTAAGGTGTGCGTTTATTACGCGAGGGGGAAAAAAATCCAAATTTTGATGACTGAAGTTGGGGGTGTGTTTATTATTCAAGTGGGTTCATTACGCGAGTAAATAGGGTAATAATGCCCTAGTGGGTATCAAACAAGTGTGCTTGCAGTAGTTACCCAATGAGTGTTTTGAAAGGCTCTGAAAGGCCGCTCTTTTAGCTTTTGCTGTGACTGTGCTGCGTCTTCCGTGCAGCCCTCGTGTTTTTTTCAATATTGGACAGCTGAGGCTTATCAACTACTACCGAAACTTGCTATATTTAGTTGTTGGCTCTTTTAGATACAGCATATAGTCTGTCTTCAGCAGTGCTGTCGAAATTTATGACCTCATGGTAAACTTGGCTCTTTTAGTTACATAGTCTGTCTTCAGCAGTAAAAAGCTAGGTAGGTATGAAAAGCTGCTGTTTGAATCTTTGACATCATGGAAAACTGATGCAACAACTTGAAAATTGCATCACTCACCTTTAGTTTTGTGTGCCTTTTGTGGTTTGCGAAGTCTCTCATAATAAGTGAGTTTTCATACATTGTATAAAAGTAATGTGCTAATGTGGCTCGAATTACTTTTATATTCAATGTCTCCATAAATAGAAAGTTTACATTTTATGTGCTTTCAAGAAGCAGCATAAGGAATGTGTAGTCTGTGCAACCCTGCTTTAATTAATTGCCTGCACACTGTGTCTACTGTAGTTAACGGCCATTACTCTGAAATACGTGAACTCAAAATATGCTAAATAAGCATGCCTAATTTTCCATCCTCACAATATGTTAAAAGTACTTCAAGCTCAGTAAGTCATTACATTGTTGATAAATTAAGTGCTTGCACTTGTGGCCACTGCAGGCATTTATACGTCCTTTCCGAGAGCATCACATCGATCCAACATCAATCACGCGGCATGACTTCATTGAGACCAATGGGGACAACTTCATGGTGCCCATTCCAGTGTTGGCCAGCATGGCCTGGGGCTTTGCCTCCAAGCCTCCACAGGCCATCCTGGCCACGTACCACTGGAACTGCTTCCTCTTCCTTCTGGCCCTTTTCGTAGCATTCACCAATCAGGTATGAACCTCATCATTTATGTAATTTATATTTATCGTCAGGGTTTTTTTATTTCACTGCTGTTTTTACTACCCTATTATTGTTCCCCGATTTGTACTAATATAAGCATCATAAAATGCATAGTAACCAAATGTGGCCCTTTTTGTTTAAGAAGAACGCATGCCACTGAAGTTTTCATTTTTTATGCTTTCTTTATTGTGAACATATTCGACGAAGGTCTCTCGGGCTGGTTGAAATTTCATACGTAAAATAAACGTTACAGCCACCCACTCTTTTTTTTTTTTTTGTGGCACATATGTAGGTGACTCCACCCGACTTAAGTGGTGGGGTATGTATGTATGCAATATAGGAGCTTTGTTGCATGCTGGCTGTTTTCCTCATTGCAGATTCACAAGTGGTCGCACACATACTTTGGACTGCCACGGTGGGTGACGCTTCTTCAGGAGTGGCATGTGGTGTTGCCAAGACAACATCACCGAATACACCATGTGGCACCCCATGAGACTTACTTTTGCATCACTACTGGTTGGCTCAACTATCCGCTGGAGAAACTCCACTTTTGGCCAGCCTTAGAAGCGGTCATCTCTGCCCTTACAGGTTGTAGGCCACGCTCGGATGACCTCCAGTGGGCGCTCAAAAAGTGACCATCCATGTTTCTGCTATTGACCTCTTCCAGGACTTTGTGTCCTCAACATTGCACCTGCTGCTTGCTTGACTTTAGACTTCCCTGGCTCCTAGGTGACTTCTGGACAATTGTTTATAGTGCAAGGTCTAGTCGGTGCTTGGGGTGTCTTTTGACAGTGTTTTTAGCAGCTGCCATGCACGAAAAACTTTATCCAAGTCAAAAAGCATAGGCATAGAAGAAATTGTGGTAAACACTAGATGCAAAGGTCACATTGGCAGCCACTGCCGTTTTTGCCAATTCTTTAATGCCATGCACGATGTTGGCCTTTAACATGCAACATGTCGGCTTGAGGCTGCCCTACAACTTGCCAAGATGAGGGACCTCTGTGAGCTTATAGTGGATTGTGGAGTGGCCCTTTTGGGGTAGACAAATGGAAGTGGCACTTTGTCATGCTATTGAAGAAAAGTGGGAAATGCAAAGCAAGTAATATTCCTCTAAAGAAACACTGAATTTCGGAGCTTAATGCAATTCAGGAAGCTAAACCTCAACACAAGTGAAGTAATCTCTATTTAAATTTCTTATAATTCTTGAGGTTCTTCTAGAGATATGCTCTTTAAACTGCTGCTGTTATGCTGGTTTGTCTTCCAATTTGACACAGCACTTTCTCTCTATTCATTGGTGCTACTGCCCTTCAATATGCATCGATCTCAGTAAAGCAAGAATGGTCTTTGGCTACTGATCTCTATATAACTGACTTTATGTCCATGTCAGGGCAGGATAATAAATACTTTAGCTATTTTTTTTCTGTTCTTGCCGGTTTATGCATGCTTACTACCATCAGTAATAGTCACCACCTTTTGTAAGCATAAAGGTGTATTGCTTGAATACTTCTAAGCAGGTCTTCTTGAATGAGGCCTTCACACTTGAATCAGGTGCTATTCAGCTTTAAATATTGTGGTTTACATGTTGCAGGTATTAAATTTAGTAATCCTTTGGCTACAGTCCTTCACTTTGACTAAACGCTGCTTTAGCATATTTGCATTATTTAACTTGAGTAAGTTGAAGCTGAAAGTAGCCTTGAGCCGGTTGCCGCATGTAGAGACCCATCAACATCTGTGTACACTGCATAATGTAAGCCCTTCCAGAACCTGAGGTCCAAGCAGTCACTGAGGAAAAACAGCTGATAAAAAATGCTACTGCTTTAATTTAGTGCATAGTCTTTTCAGAAGAAAGACAAGGCACAAATGAATAGCCGAAGTGGTCCAAGGTGCATTAAAGAAGCCGTCCATAGCTTCTCGAGCTTTTGTCACTGTGACGAAAAACAGCTAATTACCAGGCTTAAGCAGGAGCTTGCGTTTTATATCTAAATTTAGGTACATTCTCATCAGAACATTTCAGCACCGATGTTTCCCATCCAAGGATAATTTTCTACAGCAGCGAAAAAATGTGATCTTTGCTAGGAGCCATTATATACCACTCATTTCTGCTCTTTATAGAAGTTGTTTACATGGTTTTATTTTTAAGTGGCTACAAATAAGAAAACATGTCCTGCAAATTTTCTTGAATGGCAGTGCCTGGAGTCACAATGGCTATTTCAAGTGCAGAGTAACCACATTTTTGTGGCTGGAGTATGTTCACTGAAATTTCTATTTCAATAGATGGCAGAATAGGATGCAATTCAGCTGTCGTCAGATAAGTTATACAGCATAGAACTGATGCTGTGACATTAGCTGATGTCATGCGAGAATTACGTGTGAGGTGGGCTTGTTGTGGCTTATTTTTAGGAATCGTATAACGAGTAAGAATATCTCAGCGGTTGCGTAGCAAGCACAGCAGATACCTTGACCAAGATTACTCATCAGATCAGAGTGCCATATAAGCGTAAATATTTATTTTTTGTATCCATTTCTCATAGTACTTGATTATACATAGCATATTATCTTGTGTTCAAAGACAAAAGCAGGCACAATGTAAAGTGACTGTAGAATGAATTAACAGCGAAAGCATCTTTACTTTTCAAGCAACGATAACTCTTATGACTTTTATTGCAGTGGTCAGTTCTGTGAGAATACAGCCGCACGAGCCAATATGTACATAACAGCACTGCATCCACTATTGATGTTTACGAAGAGAGCATCATTTCTTTTTCAGTGAATGTTCACTTGTGAGAGTAGCCTTTTTGCTTGTTTACCAGCTTTTTTTTTTCATTGTCTTCTTATGCCATAGATAAATTCTTGTGGCGTAGCGAAGGAAAAAGGAGAAGAATGGTAATGGCATAGCATATCTTTTAGCGTGAAGCTGCGCATAGGGATTAAATTCAAGAACATTGTAGGATCTTTAGGGTTCCTTTTATTTTTGCAATTTTGCTGTCACAGGGCCTACCAGAGAAAAACTACTGGACAAGTTGAACCATAATACTGTGATTGTGCACTCGTAATTGTGATGGTGCGAGCAGATGCTCATTATATAGGAAAGAATGAGTAGGAAATAGAAAATGTCCCTGCCAAAAGTTCAACAAGCCCTATAAAATTACCCTTTCTTTGACGTGAAATTAAAACAGGTATGCTTACGGTGTTCTCTGTTTGGTTTTCACTGTGCCTTCTCAAAAATCTTTTTGCTGCTGTAGCACCTAACAAGCAGATTCAAAATGTTTCACGAGCGTTACACCAAATCACACATAGCTTTTGTATGTCTTCTATACAGCGTGCCAGGTTATGTTGATCTGTTGTGGAATGTATGGGTCATTGCGTCCCAATATTTACCGCTGCATTGCTACACACAATCACTGTCATCCAAAACTGTGCAGGATATGGAGGTGCACTTTGAATTTTTCTACAGCACGAGAGTTGATGATGAAATGCATATGTGCTTGCATGTCACTGCCTGCTTTACTCATGTAAGCATTAGGTGTGAAAACTGAAGAAAGAAACAAGAACAATCTGACAGGGTTCATCACCATTCTATAACATCTAATGAGCATGCTTTGCTCTCATTCTCTGCGTGCAAGTTTAATGGGTCAATTTTTTTTTTATGGCAACTCATCATTCATTAAAAGACTAAAAGCACTAGTACAGTTCAATTAAACTATTAATGCTCTCATTTCTTTAGATTGAAAAATAGGATCTAGTTGGCTGTTGATTTGGGTAATGTTTGTATTGATAAAACACAATAGTAGATCCATGTTTAGAATGAAATTCCAATGATATAGTATGAACTTCAGGTGACAATATGACAGCATTATGTATGTGAAAGTCGGTAATGTACTAATTGGAAAATATATCTACTTGTGACAAAAGTGTCTGGAACCTCTGAAAAGCTTCCGAGCTCCTTATAATTTCAGGGACATGCTTATGCCTCGAGGCAAATCATGTCATGCGCGTGCAAAGTAACGGAAACATAAGAGAACAAAAGGGGAGGGATGGTTAACCAGTTGCAACTTCCAGATTGGCAAGTGCATTGAAATCGGCTATTTGAAACATGTACCAATGTAGAATTTGTTTTTCATCATAAAATGGCTTGTGGCATAGTGTGGTAGGAAGAGAGGATGCAGGAAGGTACAAAAAATAGACTCAAGCAGTAGTGTTTATTTGTATTCCTTTTTATGCTATTGTTTCGTTCTGAACTGTGCTACATGCAAGTTGACTCTTCATGACAAATTCACAGCTGGCAACTCAGTTGTATAAGTTCAAAATTATTAAAGACATTATCCAGACACCGACCAAAATGATTTGAAATACAAATGTGTTATCTTTTCAGCTGCCCCTTGGGAGCCTTGTAGCCGAACAAGGCTGCCGTGGGAGAGCCACACTGTTACTACACTTGTTTTTAAAATCATTTCAGTCTGTGTCCGGATCCTTTCTTTTAATGTCTCATCTTGACCAGGCGAGCTTCCATCACAATGTCGAGTTCATTCAAAATTATTAAAGGAACGAAATACCTAGTGGCATATATTTGTTGCAGAGAGAATATTCAGGTATAATTTGTTTGTTTTTCTTGCATAATTTCTTAAAAATAAATGGTGTGCAGAACTCATGGATTGAATCTAGGAAATTTGGGGCTTAGTAATACTCGCACCTTTGTTTATGGCATCTACAGTTCATGTCATAGCAGCGTAATTTTGACTTAAACACTCATGTCATAGCGAACATTACCTTGAGCAGTCACATTTGCATGATGTTCATAGTAATTATTAAAAAAAGTCATCTTTGAAACTGTGAGTACTGTACCTGCAGTGCGACATGTGTGCTGTGTTGAGCCATGTTGGGTGAAGTAGCTTCCATCAAACAGATCTGTGGCCAGCCTAGCAAAAAACTGCTTCTACAGTAAGATTGAATAACGAATTGACAGTTGGAGTGGGGAAGGTGGGACAATGATAAAGTAAAGCAACTGGGCTAGTAAATGCTGCTGCTAGCAAAAAATGACTTGGGTTCACATTTTTATTAAGCCAGTTATGAACAGTAATTTACCACCGTTCTTGTGGCATTTATGTAGGGCAGATTGCTTATTTTACTAGATAAGTTATTTATGGATTGTTAACAAATGTTAACAATGTGCAACAGGTTCATACTGACCCACATGATAGCGCAAAATGTCGTATAATTCTGGCATGTATGTTCCTTGCCAACAAAGGCTTTTTGTGTGCCACCATAATCTTCTCTAGGCTGTTGTTAATATGCATGACCCCCTCCCCTCTCCAAAAAATGTACTTTCGAGGCAGTGACATAGGCTTTTGTACTTCCATACAACAGCCCAGATAGGAGGTAATTCTTCTCTCCATTAAAATGGTCTATAATCAAGGTCCCCTGCAGCATGTCTGTTTGGAAGCATAGCCTGACAGCACACTTTGCTTCTGCTATGTACTACCTTTAGAAAATGCGTTTTGCTTGTGAGAGATAAATATATAGTAACTATATTCTGCAGTATTGCACAATACTCTGCACATTCGGAAGCTAGAGTCTGTGTAACTATATTTACTAATGAATGAGCAAAACTGGATTTTTCATAAATGAGGTAATGCTTTCAAATGTTTTTTTTTGCAATGTGGTTACAGTTTAAAATTTCTATATCTTATATTTAAATAATTTGGGCAATTCTGGCTATCTTTGGGGAGCATTGGGGAGCAGTGATAACCTTGTTAGTGGCAAGTGCACTTACCGCTTGAACATGTGCTCATTCAGGAATATTTTTGTTGAGCTGTTTTAAAATAGTTGTTTTTAAAAAAATTGTGTTAGTTATGCAGAGTATAGGACAATTGTGTGTGCTGTTAGGAATCACTATCGGGGTAGAAAGAACTAGGCATAAACATAAATTTCTAAAATTGTTTTTGTTTTGTGAACTTCTTTAGTCTTGAACAAATGTGTAAAAATTTGAAGTGAGGAATTGCTTGTGACAATTAGTGCTAATGTAAGGTACCACTTCAAGTGCCCACATATAGACATTTGTTTTTTATTTGTACATTTTTTTTAATTGATCGTTTTCACACACACATACAGTACAATTAACTAAACATTTAAAAAAGTGTTTGTTTTCAAGTCAAATACTATAAATGCATGCATGGATTCCACAATCATCATGGAGGGATGCATGACACCATAATTGCAAACTTGAGATGTTTGTGTTGTTTGATTGCACTGTATACAGGAGCACTTGTGAGCACTTATTAGTGGTGAACACATTTTAACTCTGTCTTAAAGTAAACGTGAGTGCTCATCTGAGTTGGCAGCACCTTGTAACATTGCCACTATTACGATAAAGATAGGAGTGCCTCTGTGATATTGCAAGAGTAGAGTGAGTGTTGTTGACATCACGGACAAGTTTCTGTGGTGCACACAACACCGTGGCTGTATCTGATGAGAGCAATTGTTCCTTGCCTTCCTCACTTTGTGGTTGAGCCGCTGTCAAGGTGGCTCTGGCTTCTTACGGTAGTGATGAGTTGAGTACACTAATTTGCAAGGAACCAGCAAGGAATGTCTTTTTTTTTTTCTGACAGGGCACAGTCTCAGCAGTCTTGTGGGTACTTGGCAGGCAGGTGTGCTGCCTCTTGTTTCAGAAGTTTCAGAAAGAGAGTGTGCCTGGTGCGTAACACTATCTGATACTGCAGTACCCATGCAGTTTCATTCGTTCACCCTCACAAGGCACCAATTCAGAAAGTATGCTTTCAGCATAGCTAAAGCTGGTGCACATGTGATGTTATGGCTCTCCACTGCGGTCAGATGCTAATTTCATAAGATTTTTGGCAGGCATTTAAAAATAACACTAAGAGTGGTCTTAATTAACAATTCCTGTTATGAAATGAGGGCATTTACAATTCAGTTTGGTGATTATCAGACACAAGCTACTAATTAAAGTATAAAAGTCACCAATGATGATTTGGCTGTCGACTATCCTTTAAACATTAGAAAAAAGACCATTAGCAAGTCGCAACTGTGATTTATTATTGTAGACTGCCATAATTAGCTGAAAAAGTTATTAGGCCTCATTCGTACCCTTGATATTAGCAATGTGAGCATAATGAAAAATGCACTATTATATTTACCGCAAGCTATAGAGCACTGATATGCTGTTATATCTAAGATAGGAAAATGGTATCTGTCTGTACGAGTGTGTGGATGCTTTGCATTTAGGAAGTTTCTTTTTCTAAAAAAAGATGCTGGCAAAGAGCTCAAATGTTGATCCACTATTTTGGAGCAAGCAGAGCAAGCATTAGATCTGCTTTGCAGATGCAGATTTTACCAAGTTTCCTGTGAAGTTCTTCAGTTGTTTGTCACAGTTAATTAATTTCTTGTAACTTATTTTAGTCATATTGGCTCTTTTTTGTTATTTTTTAGAGAAAAACTGTAATTTGGCACAATTGCTCATCTTCATGTGCCCTTCACACAGAACATTTTTAGGCAACCTGTATTGGTACATTCATTTGGATCCACATTACTTGTTGAAACTGGGAAACCAAGCTAACAAATTGTTGTTCTTTGTAGAAATCAAGTCTGCTAAACAGCTTTTCGGTTTTTAACTGTCTGTAATATAGGCATAAATGTGATGTACAAAATGTATGTTTGCTTAGATTTAATCAAAATTCAAATAGTCATATTTGTTAATGTAATGTGCACCCTTAATATGTCGCCCGGTGTTCTGGAAAAAAAAATTATTCACATATATTGTGCGACCTGTAATGCCCCACAGTGCTTACATGCTTGACAGAATAATTGGGGATATTGGCAGCGCTGCTTGTCGTCACACGTATGCTTTTGGCTGCATGCAGTAAAAATTCAGGCAGAAATACTGTACTGAGGAATTCTCATACTACACGTGGCATACAGCATTTTAGAATGGAAATTTATAAAATGTCTTTTGAAGTTTATCAATGTTAATTTCTTGGTACTTACAACCATATGCTGGCACTTTCAGTCAGCTAATGCCTCAGAGATGGCAGATAATTAAGTTAGAATCAAGGAAACGAGATATTTTGTGCTCAGTGATATTAGTAGATGTTGCCGAGAATGCGTTTGTTAAATTTTCATATAATTATTTTTGTACACTCACTTTTTGAAGCCTTAAAATAATAAAAATGTGAATTACATTACTTAATACATTGCAATCCTCTCTTTAATGAAAATTTTGGGAATCTTTATCCTTTTTTTTATTTTACTTGGAAAGCCTGTTTTGGAAAGGTTATCTGCTTGTTTGCCCCATTTCAATAGGTTGGCCAAATATAGCCAGAATTTCTCAGTGTGTACTTCCAATGCACTTTTGTCACTAAGGACATCAATTCTCAATGCACACTCAAGGTTGTGAGGTTCTCTAGTCCTTTGGTTATTTATTCACATCCACACAGTTAATCTAATGAAGCTGTGTCTATTCTCTAAGTTATGTGAAGCCGAAAATAATTGGTTCAAGCAATTACTCTTGATTTTACTTTCACAAAAGTTGGAAGCCTCAGTTATTAACTCCTAAGACAGATATCGTCCTCTGGCATCATGAGACATAATGGTGCTTCCAGAAAATGCATCTCTCTAATTTATGATGTCTTATTTCTTAGTTTACTTTAGGTAAGGCTAATGCAAAGTCAGGCCTCATTATAACTAAATTGATAACAATAAACTAGTAGATGTAATGAAGTAGTTATAGTCCTTCAATTTTTCAAATAGGTGTATGCCACTAAAATACCTTTCTAATAAAGTGAAAAATAATTATGGAAATAACAGTGGGCTCTAAGCTTGAAAATATTTACTGCTATTTTACACCAATTAGTTTGAAATATGGCGGTGTAGCAGTTGCGGGTCTTGTAATTCATTTGAATAAGCATTTAGAAATAAGCTAGATATCAGCTGCCTGGCAACACTTCAAATCAGCCACAACACTGAGCTAATGGTTACACATGCACTCTGCCACATTTGCCTTGCACAGCACTCTGATGCACTCTCTGCATCCGTACGGTTGCAGAGTCTCTTATTAAGTGTAACACCCATCTCTGGACACAATTTCAAGGAAATGCTGTTTTGTTCATAAGCATCTGCTTTTCTATGGTGAAACTGTATGAAAACTGAGGGCTTGCAGTGCTTTTTAGCTCGCTCAAGAAACACTGTGATACTTGTTAAGCAGCTACTTGAGCACAATTATGTGGAGGATAGATGAACATTGAAAACTGTATAGGAAGTAGTCATTTTCTTGGCAGTTAGCATGTGTCAGAAAACAACCTTCTGTGGTCCTTTGGCAGTGTGCAGTAGATTTTTGCATTAGTCTACGAGTAGTTACTAACACCACATCCCCACTTTCTCCTAGTGACTGTGATGGTAGACAATCATCATAATGATATAAAGTATATAACAGTGCAGCTCCTCATTCAGTTTAGTTATAGCAAGCTTCTACAGAGGTTTTTCTTTTGATTATTTTACTTTCGTCAAAATAATGTCATGTACATTTGAATAGTCTATGTAAACTAATTATTGTTGTCTTCTTATATATTATATAGCTGCTGCTAACAATATTATACACTGTGTGTTGGTGTAAAAATGCTTACATGATTTTTTAGCATGTTAGTACCAATGCAGTTCTATTTTTATAGCAGTAACTTAAAGGAAGAGCTGGTAAGCTAGTTGCAGCTGTAGCCACATATATAGCTTCAGTACATGTTACGAATAATGTAACCATAAATTTGTTTCTGGACCCTTTCTTGAATATATGCCTCATGCTGTGTTCTAGAATGTAACATTTCTTTATTTGCCAAAGATTTCTCTAATGACATGTGTATTATTGAATGGCACAAGAATCAAAGTGATGGCAACAATGGACAATATAAAAAACTAAGTTGACCTGTGTAGGGGTGACACAAGATTCAACTTTGAAGGCCTAAAATAGTGCTAGAACCAATTGAATATCAAGTACTTTTTGAATACCTTTTTGAATATTGAAAGCCATTCTCACATTTAATATGAATTCTAGAATTCATATATTCTGTGCATAACTATTCTGAGAGTGCAAGTGATTATTGTAAGGCTGGTAAACTCGGACCTTGTGAAGGTAGCCGACACCAGAAGGTATAACATAGAGAAAATTCAGCAGGCTGTAAAAAGTGGTAGAAGCCTAAAAGCTGTGAAGGCAAACTTGTGCATAAGCAGATTTTCAATGTATGCATTAATGAACAAGAAAGGCAATGTCATAACCAATATGAATTGGGTAGTTGAGGTGGTGGAGGAGTTCTACAGAGAGCTGTACAGAAGCCAAAACAAGCAGAATGATATCGTGAGAAACAATGATTGTCCAGAAGAATTCGACATCCCACCACTAACGACAGTGGAAGTAAGGAAAGCCTTAGAAGGAATGCAAAAAGGCAAAGCCACTGGTAAGGATAAAGTAACAATGGACCTCCTGAAAGATGGCGGAGAAATTGTGTTAGAAAAACTGGCCACCTTATATACGAAGTGTCTCTTGTCGAAAATGGTACAAGAATCTTGGAAAATTGCCAACATCATCTTAATCTATAAAAAATGAAACGTCAAGGACTTGAAAAATTACAGGCTGACAGCTTACTGTCCATTCTCTGCAAACTAATTACAAACATAATAGCTAATAGAACTAAGGTAACATTAGAATTAAATCAACCAAAGACCAAGCAGGATTTTGTACAGGCTACTCCATAATAGACCATGTTTATATTAGTATCAGGAGTCCCTCTTGAGCTTTTGATAAGAGCGGACGTGCGTTTCTTGCTCTCGCGTTTGTGTGAGACGCTCTCCTGTCTCTTGCAATGCTCCCTCTTTCTTTCGTATAGGCTTTTTGCCAGTGCTTTAGCGTTTACGTCCCACGTTTCACGTTTACGTCCCACCACTTGACAATGCATTTGTTGGCATCATGTTAAATGCCTACGACAGCTTTACTGATGCAAAAATCCTGAAGGACTTGCAAGAGAGCATCCCAACTATGCCTGTCGTGGGTGGCTGTTGCATTGGACGGACCAACCATGTACTCGTTACCATGCTTAGAGATTGTTTTCCACGATGGATCTTCTATCACGGCGTCTACATTCACCTCTACCCCTTCTACCCAAGGGTAAAAGCAGTCTTTAACTGCCGCAAGGTGGGTCACTGAACTGATGTTTGCTCTCAACCAAAACGCAACTGCTGTGCACATTGTGGCGAAGAACACCCGCCGATCCCACAGGGACCCAACCGACATGCCGTGCCCACTGTATCATTTGTAAGGGTGGTCACACAACGAACAGTTCGAACTGCAAATACCGTTTCGTTGAGAAACCTATCCCGTCCAGCTACACACCGGCGCAAACACCTAACAATGAGCCACTACCGCAGCAGCCATCAATTCTTCGCACCAATCACTCGCCGTCCCAAGAGTAGTTGTACCCCCCTCTCGGCCAGCCGCAGCAGCAGCAACAGACCGGCCATTCCAGGCCCCGCAACCATGGCCAGTCCCGGTCGAGGTCCCAGTCCAGGCCCCGGTCCAAGTCCAAGTCATGGTCCCAGTCACGGTCTAACTCCCGATTGCAGTCTCGTTCTGCTAGTTACCTCAACTCATCCTCGTTGCCTCTCTCCTCTCCTGGTTCGTCCCAGGGATTGTCACA